TAGCGAGGAAATTTAATGTAAGTATGTCTGTACACAAAAATTTATTATTGCTAACGAAAAATGATTCTGAGCGGAATTCAGTTAATAGTGTTGCTTTGTCAACAATATATTATATCAACAATATCAATATTATGATAAAATTTGTTTAATATTGTAACTATTTTCCCGTTTTTTACCAGGTTTTTTCTATTTATGGAGAAAACTCCAGGGAAAGTAAAAAAATAACCGCCATATAATAAGTAGGACCCCAGTCAGATCTCCTTTTAGAAAAAGTGTTATCATTGTAAATCTGTGTAAAATTGTTAATAAAAAGTTGTTCACAGGAATAAAAAGCCATAATCATTTTTACTAATACCTACCTACATTTCGTACATTTTCCCGTTTTTTCCAATGATAATCGAATGTAATACGAACCTTTCCATTTGACACTCAGGGTTAAAATTCGATTAAACTAGTAGTTTAAACTACTAAAACAATTCATAGACTAACAGGCTATATATATATATATATATAACTAAACCAGACCTATAGCCATCTCTAGTTAGTAAAGGCGGGTTTCCATTACATACGTGTACGTGCTCGTACATACAAAATCTTCGCTGTGATTGGTTGGTAACAATAGTGAGCGTTTGGTATACCATAGTGTTTATTACCACACTCTCGTATCACAGAATACATTAATATTGAGAACTAAGATATATAATTCATGATAAGAAAAACAAAATAAGATTATCATATTACCAAAACAATTTACAAAACTGAATAATCCATATATTTATTATACAAGTGATATAATTTTATTCTTATTTTTCATTAATTCCGACAATTTCGCATCAAACTTAAATTCTCCAAAAATACTCGTAAGTATCAATGTTTGAACATATTAAATAAAATTTTAAAGTAGATAATAGATATAAGGTATTAGGCAAAAAAACCAATCAAAAATATTTAATATAATGTCGGCTTCGTGCAAAAAGTGAAATGTTCGGAATCGACGTTTTAATCTTTTTCAAATTCACTTTTTATTTTTGTAATCTCTAACAAATATAATGGTGGTTATAATATTTTTATTCTGTATTTTTATTTATACGTTTTGAATATTGACTTAAATACTATAAAATTAAAAGTTTTGTAATTTTTTCCAACTTCAAAACAGTTATAAAGGTGAATAGTCTGTTAGTTATTTTTCTGTCTAATAACTAGATCAGGGTTGTCCAACCCATAGCCCGTGGACCGCATGCGGCCCATGGTAGTTTTTATTATAGCCCTCAATTAAATTTAAAATCATCAATGAGAAAAATTTATTTTAAGAATATAAAACTACAAAATATTAAAAATTTAAATATTACTTAATTGTATATACTATTATATGAAAGTTTTATCTTTATTGTGATCTCATAGTGATAAAGAAACTAATGTGACTAAAATAACAATACAACTATTTTAAAATTGTTTTCTTTTAATCATAAATAAATTCATTTTTTCTTGTAATTATAAATAAAATGGATTATTATTAAAATGTATGTGGCCCACAACAACTTCTGCTCACATGATGTAACCCAGTCTTTACAAAAGGTTGGACACCCCTGAATTAGATCTTTAAGTTAATACTTCTTTTTTCTAAACTCATTAATTGCAACAAAAACTATAATTTTATAATATTATTATTAAGTTCTAAAATCAATAACAACAAATTTAATGTAATACGAATTTTAACATCATTACTTATTACAAAATTATAATATCAAAATAAAATACATTTTCCTTATAAATTTCTTTTTAAAAACATAAAAATTGCCTTAACTAAGCATCTACTTGACTAAGACTGTACATAATTTTCAAATAACAGCATAAAAAATATATTATTTAAATTAAATTTTTTCTTCATGATCAGTACAATTTCCAATCACTATCTTTTTATCTAACTGTTTTTTGGTATAGATTGAGTAAATCCATTTTTTCATTACTTAATGTGATGCATATTGGTTGGTTATATAATTTTGATATTCATTATTATTGTTTACACTTCTTTTTTTTCCAATTTCACCCCTGACATCAATATATTGATATTCATTAGAATAGTCATACTGAAAGATTATGACAAAATCATTTTTTTGTTGATACTGAAAACTTTTTCCTATCATACAATTAAGAATTTCATTATTGAAGCATTTTTTCTATTTTTAATCAATTTTTGTGCCAATCTTTGCAAATCAATAAAATCTTGAAACAATAATTCTTGCACTATATAAGGGCCTTTATTTTAAGTTTTGTTCCTAGTTGATCTAGCAGTTCGAAATAATGTCATCCAATTTTGAACAGAAAAGACAGAAACATTTTGCTTGGCTTTTTCTACTGCACTATGCATTGAGTTGACTCCATCATAGAATGGCCTGATTCAATAAACTTGTGTTCAATTTTTTTAATATGTGTAATTTTAACAATAAAAATTATCAATGTCATAATAAATTGATAATGATTTTGTCCTTCACATGTGTCTGAGTATAAAGTTACATGAGTTATATTAGTGTTTAAATTTCAAACCATTTATATAAATATTACCCTATTTCAGAACTTCTTTGGTTCCCATTAATTTCTATCCAACAAAAAGTATTATTTGGAAGAGAAAATGTTTAAATAGTAAGGTTAAACATGTTTAATTTTCTGCTATAAAATATTAATGAAATTTCTGAAGATGTAATTTGGAAAATTTTTTGCAAATCAAATTTAAATTCTACATAATTTGTTGATAATTGTGGCTAGAGCAGCGATTTCCAAAATTTTTGCCAATGCCACACATTTTTGTTATTTAATATAAGTCGCTGCACACTATAGATAAATATCTACTTTCTAAATATAAGTGATTTAGGACCGGATTTATTTCCCATCTTTACCTGTTAATGAAAAAAATTTGGTATGCAATCTTTTTGCAATATCTCATCTAGGATTAGTAGAGCAAGAGCAACTTTTAGAACTTTTATCTGATCTTTCATTGAATTTAAAATTGAATGAATATAGACTTCCAGGTTTAGAATTTTATCAAAAATCGAATGTCTGATAATTACAAAAATAGCAATAATTACACTATTATCATTTTCTACAACATGCCTCTACGAAATTGGGTTTTCCACTCTAACCAATATCAAAAATGAGAAACATGAACGACTTATATCAATTGAACAAGAAATGCCAGTGTATTTATCATTTGAGTTTTTAAACTTTTCACATGATGCACACTTATCTTTTTTTGATTTAAAAAATGAATAGTTATATTATACAAAAATTCTGTCTGTATACTTTCTGACTTGGGATATTTGTATTTTGAAGATAATTTGTTTTATATTCTACAGTGAAAAGTTCATATATTTTACTAATTGATAATTTTTCATATAATGTCTTCTGTTTGATTTGCTGGTGTAATGAATTTCCGTAACAGGAAAACTATCAATATGTGTTTTAATTGCAACACTATCTTCATTACTTGTTTTATTAACTCTTTTTGTTTACCTCTTTGGTCAAACTTTGTAAATATATCATTGTCTGATTTTCTTTAAAGTACTGTATTCACAGGACCATTACTAATACATAATGTACCAATAAAATACTTTTGACAATCCCTTTCTCTTACCAAATTGTTTTCAAAAAATAATTATTACTTAATGTTCTAGGTCTTGTGGTTTTAGCTAGACTGCCAACATGCTGACTTGCTTTATTTACATCAACATAGTTTATGATAAAATCGTTTTGCTGATTATAGTTAAGTTTCTATAAATCTGGACAAATTTTAAGTTGATCATCACTATTGAATTTACATTTGCTATATTCTATAGGTTTAGGCTTTTTCCCCACTTATTGTTTTATCTTTTTTGTTAATCCTTATTGTAAAGTCTTGATATATACTTCTTTACTGTTTGGCAGTATTTCTTTTCCAAAGGTTAGGACAACTCAAATTTCATCAACTTCTTTTTCGTAGTTCTACTTATCTAAAATTTTCTGATTTCTCTTGTGTATTTAATTTCCAATTTTAATATACTGAGACTGGTATTGTATCTTGATCATTATATGTAGTTGGTTAACCTTAAAAATATAGATTTATATTTAAAATCACAATGTTTTTTTGTTTTGAAATAATTGTAATAAAAATTATGTAGCAATTTAATAATTTAAGCTAAAACTTTATTTCACTAAGAATCTTAATATATTCTAATAATATTAGAATTAATATTATAATTTACTAGTTGATTAAAAAATTTGTTGGAATTTAAAATTTGTCTCAAATATTTTTTCATAAGTAGGTATTTCTATAATAACATAGCGAAAACCATTTTGTATAATTTGCTTACTAATATTCCATACCATTGTTAATTAAGTCTATAGTTTCTAGATTTAAAATATTTAATTATGATTCATTTTGATCTTCTAGTATATTATAATTATCTATTATGGCATTATTTAAATCAAGTTGTAACAGATTAGTAATTAGGTTATCATAAGCCGGTTTTTTTTATTTTTTGTTATTATTATATTTATATTATTTAAAAATTTTCAATTTTTTTTAAACAATTGTTGTTGTATTGAAAATGTACATTGTTGAAAAAACAATACTATTGATTGGAGCTCCACTTAATATTGTTTTTTTAACCACATTTAAACAAAAATATGATTCCTAAATATCTAAATTTTATTATGACTAAATAATTTATACAAATATGATAATATGAGAATTCCAAAAAAATTCTGTTTCAAGTATTGTAATTTCGAGGAATGTAGGTTCCAAAAAGTTATCATTAAAGTTAAATAAATGTCAACAATTGTCTGTTTCAACTAAAATATTTACATTAAATTTAATTCCTTTATATAATGTTCCTATAATAATTTTTCCAAATATTTTATGTTTATTTTATTCCATTAAATGACTGTTTCATGTAAAATAATTCTAATAAAATAAAGCACCATTGTTTATAAACAGTGACATTGAAGAAAATATAAATAAAGGCATAATGGACCAGCATGAGATCATTAACATGAATGGGAACTTGAACACACGGTTGTTGATGGTAAACCGCATTTTTTATGAGAAGTTCTTACAATTTCTCTTGTGGTACAATAGAACCATCCCAAAATGTATACAGCAAATCTTTGAATTTCTTTTGTTGCTAAAGGTAATACCATTGCCACTAATAATGAATATACCTATATACCAAATCTATATGATAATAAAATCTGTTTTTCTTTTACAGGCCGTCCTAATGCTTTTATTACTAATCTACATGCATATCTATTTTATAAGATCTATAAATGGTTGCTTAGACTTTCTCAAAGAAGCTTTGCCAAATATTGATATACTTCGGTTGGAAACTATTCAACCTGACCAACGTGATTATGCTGAACTGACTGGCAATATTGATCAAATATTTACATTGCATGAATCATACTCTCGGGAAATGAAGGCTAGGAAATTATATGACTCAGAGTTCATGGCTAGGTATTTGTATACAAAATCGTTTATCTAATAAATTAACTATATTCATGTTTAAAACCCAAATTTACTAATAATTTAATCATGATTAGCTAATATTAACTGTGGTTAAAGTTAGTTTAACTGCTTGTTAAATTTTACCACCAAATAAGATCACGGCCTAATTATTGTTTAAACACTACTAACTATCCAATTCCATGTGATCAACGCTGTAAATAATAATTTAAACTATCACTAGTATAAAATAAATAATCAAAATTTGACATCTAGACTTCATTCATTTTCATTATTATTGAATATTATTTTTTCTCAATTCATTTACTATAATTTAAATAACATTAAAAATGTCTTATGTTATAGTGTGAGCTTTTGAGATGGCATTTAAATAAGAAAATTATGTTTTCATTATAATTGATGTATAAGAGGAAATAAATGATGATTTTGATAAACTGAGCACTCCTAAAATTTTTTTTCATTGCATTCAATCAATTTTTTTGCACTCAATTACCCTGTAGTGACCAATCATTAATTTAAATACCTTAAACTTTTTCAAGAATCAAAAGCAGGTTCAAGTTTCCTTCTTTTAATAATTATATTTATGCTTTTATCCATATTTATTTTGATTAACAAAATAATTAAATATTAGTTACACTTAAACTAACTGTTGGCTGTTGTGATAATGTTTTAGGGATGAATAATTTTTTAAGTAACCTTGTGTGTCCTCTCATACTCAATACTGATCAAATAGGTTCAGATATAGTTTTAGATTCTAAATGTAGCAAAGAAACTTTTAAGTCTACTGAGATATGTTTTTATTATGGAATATATTTAATGATATATTAAAAATGTTTCATGCTGTACTTTAAAAGGTTTTTCAGCTCATGAGTTATGGTACTTTTTTATTTTTAGATTCCTAGTGTAGTGAGGGAGCTATCAGTTTTATTAAGATGTTTATATTTTTTTCTAGTCTGTGGACACGGTTTTTCTTAGTAAACTTTCTCTGATTTTTATGTGTAGCAACTTTTCTGGAAGCTCAAGTTGTCTAGATTGTATTTTAAACAGGTCATTTTTTAATCATCAACTCCATTTTTTAAATAAAAGCACTTAAGTGGGAAAAACATAGGAAAATGTACAATTTCACAATTTCATTATTTTATAAAAACACATTTTCTACTAGAAAAAATGATTTAATCGAAAAATCATAGGACACATCTTTTATTGCCTTTTTGATTTACTTTCTTGTATCACCGAACCACGTTTAGAATCGTCTTTTGTCAAGCAATGGTTTATGTGGCTTACAGATATAAATTAAATAACCTTATGTATCCTACCTTCCCAACTTGCCACCTACCGCTTCAATACTCAGTATCAGCTCTTTTTTTTTTTTAAATTCCAATACTGTTTCCAAAAAAATTGAAGACTATTTAATTTATTGAATATTAAATACTTTTTTTTTTCTAGGTCCAATAGAAAAATACCACCTTATGATGGATCAACTCCTGAAGAGTGTGAACGTAAAGCTAGTATTTCCAAATACTCATTTTGCCACAAAAAGGGTTAGTAACATACAAATTTAATTTAACTACAATATTCTATAATAGTATGTATAAAATATTGACAACCATTTTTCGTTATAATTCCCAATGGGAGAGAAGGCTGGCCAAAAGTGCATGTATTTTATATTTTATTTATTTGATAAATAATGATTTATCATTACTTTTTTAAACGTGTATACATAATAAAAAATCAGAATAATTTTTATAAAAATGAATGTAATCCTAGTGACAATTTATTACATTTTTTTAATTTTATTTATATTATATTAATAAACCATTTTTCAGCAAGTTTCCAACTTAATTAGTAATCTAGCAAATTAATCAAATGTTTATATTATTATAACATCTATATGTTATAAGTAAAGTATCACAGTTATTTAAAATATGTAGTTCAGGTAATACTATTCAATTTTTGTTATTATTTTTAATAATAATAATATATATCATATATGTAGTTTAGTGCACGAAGTACCAACATCAAAAATTGGTGAATGTTTAAATGTTGAAAATTGAAAATAAAAAGTTGAGAAAAAAATTTTTTATCAAAAATCTACTTAAGTACATAATTATTGCAACAAAATTTTCTTTTTGTTATCTTTTTCTTTCTGATTATGGCCCTTCTTACACCAAGCTACAGAATTAATTTGATTTATTTTTAAAAGTTTAATTTTATGAAGCCTTTTGGTGTATTTATTACTAATGATTTTTTAAATATTGTTTTACACAGATTTTATTGGACTGGACTCTATTGGAGCTGAGATGTGTTTCCCTAATAAGGTATTTTCAATTTCATAAAATTTAATTTTCAGATTATCTCAATAAACATGAGATTGCTCTAAATTTAAATTTTTGATATTTAGTATTCAAATTCATCTGCACTGCAATATTACCAAAACGATTTTGACATTAATTCAAATTTATATCCAAATATAATTTTGGAGTATTCATCGACATTTGCTTTATTGAGTTTATGTCCAATAACCCGGTATGAAACAAACGTTTCAGTACTATATGTGCCATTAGAGCCGTTCCGCAGTATATGTTTTGGTGGAAATATTTTTATTCAACATTTATTGAAAGCTTTTAATGGTTATCATCATGTTTTAATGCATTCAATTAAAACTCTACTTCAAGAAAAAGATAGAGGTTATGTTAGGTAAAGTATATTATAATAATATAGTTAATTGCTACTAAGTGATAATTAATAAATTATACTAAATATGGGGTTTAAAATTATGTTAACTAGTGTAGTGAGAAGGGAACTATTATTTGATTTAGGTTTGTATTATAATAGTTTTCTATAGAATATTATTAAAAAAGTAATAAATTAAAAGAAATGGAAATGAAAATGTACTTATTTAAAATAAACCAAGGTTTCAATGTAAGTTTTATATAGTATATTAGGATCATTATTTAAAATAAGGCAGATTATTTAGAATTTTAGATTCTGGCAGAGTGAGGAATGTATTGGTTTTACAATGATGTTTTTTTCGTGCTGATTTTTCTTCCAGAAATTTTGATCTGATATATGATGATACCACTTTTTCTGAAAAAAAATCTAACTAAAGAGGTACTTCTGGGTCACATTTTAATTTTCCCAGCTGTTTTCATAATAAATTTAAATAACCAGGAGGGGGATAGAAAAATCCAGGAAAATAGATACAATTATAAATAAATATGTTTATGTATTTATATATTTTACCATAATATGATATATATATTGTTGTCAAAGCAACACTATTAACCAAATTCCACTCAGAATCATTTTTCATTGCTAATGTTTACTCCTTGTGTAACAATACATTCAATTCCTCCTCTACCTTTCTAACATGTCACCTACAACAGTGGCCCATCCATATGTGAATTTTATCTGTCTGTACATACATTTCTGCTGAATTGTGAACAAAATTCTTTAATTTGCACTGGTATTTTTTATGGGGACATTTTTACCAATTTTAAACTTTCTATTTTTCTTTGTTAGTAAGCAGGCTAGGAGACTCATAATTTTAACAAGTATATAATAATAAATACATAAGTTATATGCAGGTCTTATAAATTTATTGCTTGTAGTTATCACCCAATATATATTTTAATAATTTTACTTAATAATTATTTGTCATTGTTTCAGAAACTGCATCACTAGGGAATATTACTTGTTCATGGATCATGTGCCATTAATTAGGTCTTTGATTATTCCATTTTTCTCTATGAGTTTATTTGTAAGTTTAAGAAGACATACAGCTTAGATATTTGCAAAATAGTAGTCAATATTGTTTTCTTATTAATTTATTAACAAAATTATATTTTTAAATGTTTTATATGGATCCTACACAAACATTTGTTCTTTCCATCTTACAAAATATAGTTAACATACTTACACTAATTACACAAAACTCTAATTTAATTTTTTAGTTTAATTATGATTTTAGAATAAAAACACCTAATACAAAATAAAAAGAGAACAATATTTTTATGAATAATATTTAGTTTCAACATTTTCTCTGAATATAACAGTTAATTTATCGTTTATAAATAACACATTTTTAACATTCACTAAAACTAAAAAAAAATGCACAGTCTTGCCTTCTGGGATATTGTTCTCTATTAATTTCATAAGAGGTGTTTTTACTATATCTAGTGTTTGTAAGACTGAAACAACAAATGCATGTATCCTTTTAGTTTATAATAAGTTGTTCTTAATATTATAAGGAAAAAAACAATTCCAGGAAAATAGTTATTGTGGTTAAACCATATTATTATGTAATCAAGATTATGTGGTTTTACATTATTTATTATTAATACTTTGTAGGAGTTCCTATACTATTTTACTAAAGCAAAAATAATATATTTATACTATATATTTGTGTGACAATTTTGAAGTAAGTGATTTGCTAGTTTCTTTTTCTATCAGGGTTTGTAATTTTACCATATCTAATAGATATATAAAATTACTAAAACAAAAACTATATAATGATTAAAACATACTTATACATTTCTCCTTTTTCTTTACTATTTATATTTTATTATTCAATATTCATTAAGTACTATATTGATTTTAACTAATGTCCATTGACTTTGTTTATAACTTTTATGTAATATATACCTAATATTGTATTAGTATTTTAAATTCTGAGTATTAAAGTTTTTACTGTTAACATAATTCATTTCAACTAGAAAATACCTTAATAAAAAAAATAAATTTTAAAAACAATATCTTCTCAGCTACTGACTCATTGATGGTAAAATATTATTTTAATTAATTAATAAATACAAAAAAATAATAATATAAATACTTTTATAGAGTAAAAACATTATAAAACTAAGTAATTTTGTTTCTATAATTATTATTATTTTTTTAACTAAATAATTATTAATATAATATATGTTTTATATTTTACTATGTGTTCTGACCCTGGTTTTTATTATAATTTAATATTTATAGAAACATAATGCATTTTTTTTGTTTTTGTTTTACAGAGCTATTTAACTTTAATGGTTTTTCGATTTTTGAACAACTATGTAACCAACATAATAGGTAAGATATTTTTTAGATTTTTATCATAGGGAGAAATGTTTTGTATCTATGATGTGTACTTCACTAATTCTTTTTCCTGTCTGAACATGTTTTTAACTGGTTGGCTTGTCAACATTTTATCCAGTTTATGCATCAGATTTTTAAGGTTTCATGGTTTTGTAAGAAAACTAGAAAAAGTCAAAAAGAAACATTTTCAATAAAATCTATATCATTTTTATTGGTATTTGATGAAAAAAATCCTAGAGAATAAAAATTTTCATTAAGTTAACATTTTAGATTCTGAGCGGAGAGAGACATTTCATACCAAAAAGTATTAGTTCTACAATGATGTTTATTTCTATTTTTTTATACTAAATTCTATCAGAAATCTTACTCCAAAGTAACCAATTATAGCACCTTTTGTGAAAGGGAATGAATTTTCCTAATAAATATTTAAAAAAACATAGGAAAACAGGGAAAATGTATTATTTGAAAATCTTAAACATCATACTTTTTTCTGTGAAACTTCTACCAGAAATTTTGCTCCAATTTTCAATTGTAACACTTTTTGTGGAAAGGGAATTTTCCTGGTGTGGTACTTTGAAGTGGTCATGTTTTAATTTTTAATTTAATAAAAATAATGAGGGTTTACATAATAAATGAGAAAAAACGAAAAATTTACAAAAATAATGCTTATATTATTTTCAAGTTTGTTTTTTTATTGTAATTTAGTGAAAATATTTGCACACTTGAAATTTTGATAGAAACCTTATATTTGCCTTATACAGATGTGGTCAAATGTTCAAAACATTTAAGTTATTTTTAAGCCATTAGTCATTTTAATCTTGTGAGTTTTTTTTTATATAATATTTATTCAGTAAGTACTCTAAAATTGTTAAACCAAATAGAAATACTTGACAATTTAACAGTAGGTTCATTAAAAGTTATACTTAGTGGTCAACAAAAAAAAGTGGAGTTTAATATGATTATTTATTTTTTTTATAAGAATTTTAATAAAAAATAAATGTTAAAGACTTTCAAAACTTGTATAACTGAACTCTGTTTAGAATCATTTATCATTAGTAAAGATTAATTGGTGTGTACAGATATACATTAAGTATGTCAGTCTGTTAGTATGTGGTGGTATGATTTTTCAAAAAATTTTGAATTATTTAACTTTTTTGAAATTTTAGAGGTTCCTTTTCTCAATTTGTATGAATAAAACTTATTATTAAAATTCAATACAAGTTTCATTGTTTTTACCAGTTGAAGAAAAATAAAATATTTGATCTTAATGCCACAATTTAAACATGACTTTTAAATATCATAAACAAATGTTAATTATTTATGTAGTATAAAATTAATACAATTTTATAAGTAGGTATATAATATTGTCATTTTTTACAGTATCTATGGCATATCTAACTGAACTGGAAACATTACGAAACATATATTCAACAATGTTAACTCTACTGGCTATTTTAGGTAAGTGTGAAATCAATAATTGAATAAAAAATATAAAATATTTATTGTTAATACTATAATTATAATTTGTAAAAATAATACAAAAAGTAAATAAGTTAATGAATGAAACAGGGATGGAGTAGCCAGTCTGGAAATAATAATTTTCCAGATAGCTTGGATCATATTATAGCTTGGTGGCCTGATATTTATATATATTTTAATTCTTTGTATTATTTAACAACTTAGTAAAAAGTAATGCGAACATATAATATAATCTTATTTCAGTACACCTATTAAGTATTTTTTTTGTTTATACACTCTTTAAATTATTAAATTAAAATACATATTGATTAAATCCCTTTTCTAAATTTTTTTTAATGGTTGAAACTGATTCCACCCCTCATAGCATTGCACGTGACTCCTTTAAAAACTAGCTAAATCCAATAAATTTAGCTTTTTTCAATTTAAGTTCCTGACCTAAAATGTCAGAAAAATTTTGTTTGTTATGTATGTATTTTATCAAGTGGCCTGGATAAATTTTAATCTTCCTGCCTGAATTTGTGTATTAGCCTGTGTATTAGAAATAGTATTTTTAAAATTTATTTTTTCCATCTTCCTATCTTTTTCTTATTNTGTCTATTATAAGTCTATGTAATATTATTTAATTAGTATTATAACATAGTCACTATAATTAAGTCCTCGTGAATTGTTTGCCAAATCCACATAGTCCATCTTTTCTTACTCTAATGTCATGGATATTTTGAAGACCAGAAAATGCAATTTAACTATAAGAATATAAATTGAGCAAATTAAAATCAAATTGCACAATGAAAAATACATTATGTCACACATTAAATAATTATTGAATTTAAATATTTTAATAATATTAACTTTTTACATAACATTTTATCCTGTAATATTTTATGAATGTGGTATTTATATACTGTGTATTAGAAATAGTATTTTTAAAATTTATTTTTTCCATCTTCCTATCTTTTTCTTATTATCATTTACCAGTGGCATAACTATATTCATGTTGATAAATTTAAAAAAAACTACCTATAATATAGAAAAAATTGGGATTTTTTTGAAATTAATTACATTGAAAAAATTGAACCATGGCTAAAAATGCTAAATAAAATTATAAATCTATAATATGAAGTATAAAATAAATTTTTAGCCAAGATACCATTGTTTAAAGAATTGAAGGTGAAAAACATGCTAGTCATCAACATTCTATGATTATAATAATGATTATAAATTTTTTCTGCCAGGTCTGAAGGTGTTAATGAATACCTTTTTCCAAACTGATTCATTCATTCTAATAATTATGCTGATGGTTTGGTTAAGCCATCAATTGAGCCTACTATTCTTTCACCACTCTATGACGAGGAATTATTGGCTGAAGTGAGTATTGAGAGCAGTATTCTTGTTGTTTGTTGATTTTTGTTTCTGTCCAGGAGTATAATGGACAAAAACACAAGAAACTCATTTTTCACAACTCCGTATTTTTCTTTAACTTTAGTAATTAATTTATAGTTTGACAAAAAAAAACATTAATTCCATTAACTTTCTTGTTTTTTATAATTTTTTCCAGTTTTGTTGGATTGTTAAGAAAATTTCATTACAAAACAAAACATGACTTTCTTACTCACCATCTAGATCCAAAATACTTATAGTTTCTTGGTTAGAGCAAGAGTTCTGTTAGAAAACTTAAAATTAAAACATTTTTTTTTTTTTAAATAAAATACTTTTTAAAAATGTTTTATATTGAATACATTGGAAAATAATCATTTTTAAAATATTCAGTATACTACCCATGTTTTTTTCTCCATTGGTGCCAATAATTTAGATACACACTCTCATTGTTTTAAAAAAAATTCATTAAATTATTGGTAAATAATAATTTTAAATATATTTTTTAATTCACATGGTGTTTAGTACACTATTTTATAGATTATATAATTTTGTAGTAAATAAAAATGTTCTTAAAAATTTACATAATATATAATACCAATATCATTTTTATAAGTGAATTTTGTTATTTCAATATTTAATAGCTTTAAAAATACAATAATATTCAACAAGAAGGGCTTAATCTGTATTTCTATTTTAGATTTAACTATCTGTACCAGTTTTCGTTCTATGTTTACTACTACCGGTTCAATGGTCAATTTGGCGGATTATCCTTATATGTTGCTTGGAGCTTTATAGAGGTAATACTCAAATGTTTAATTAATTTGAATGTTTTATAATATATAAAAAGAGTTGCATATAATTTGTGATAGAATCTTGATATATTCAAATTATATAAAATAATCTTTAAGGTAATTACAGTAGAGTATCTAGGATATTTCCATAAAAAGAGGGGGTTATATAGAAATCTTAAGCAGTGTTTTTATTGAAACAAAATAATAATTTTACTTAGAATGTTTTATTTCCAACATTCGTTGGATAAAATTTCCTCAAAAGTGACACCTAAGTATGTTTTAAAAAACAATTATAATAAATAATAAATATTAAATTTGCCACTGCCCCAGTCAATGGAATATGTCCATTTTTTACTGAAAAGTTTGGTTTTTGTTTTTTTAGCACTCCATTGTTTTCTTTCTTCAACATTATGAGATACCACATTTGGTGCAACATGCCATAGTTTATGAAGCAATCATTAGAAGAATACAACAGTAGAGATAGAGATACCAACAAGTACAAGTTCCTCCTCAACAAGAACAAAGACCCTCAAGAGCAATACAATTACTAGGATTGGCTAATGAATCACATGATATATACACCAGAAATAATAATCCATAAAATCCAATTTAGTTATTGGTCCCCTTAGTTATTATTTCTGAACATTAGTATTTACAAATTTTCATAGCATTATGGACAATTTTAAACTAATAGTTTGCAGTCTGTGTAAAATGGGACAAAAATTTATGTTTTGAATTTTCACTTACTTTTTAACAGAAATATTTCACCAAATATGTATTTTGTGTTTATCAATAAATTTGATTTGTTCAAAATATATAATATAATGAATTCAATCTATAATAATAAGTGATTAATATAATTTGTTGTTTCCTTTCAAAAATGATTGTATGTATTTTTTTTTGTATTTGAAAATCATAAAGTTGAATAGAAATGCATAAGTGTTATATTAATATGATTACCAATGGACAAATAAATTAAACCTAATTTCTTATTAACAAAAATAATATATAGTAATAAAAATTGGATATTAAAATAGATAAGGGTTATTAATTTATATAAACAAATTAATTAAAAAATTTTAATAACTGACTTATACATTTTTTTTTTCATTTTTATACCAAACTAATTCAAACCTAAAATCCATTAGGTAAATAGTAATAATTATAAAATAGTTAAACAACCCAAGTTGTAGTAATAAATTTTAAAAGAAACCTAATTCAAAAATTGGTGAAATAAATATAAGTGAAAATCATTTAGGTTGTATAGAAAAATGGAGAAAAAAGAAAAAGCATATAAACATTTTTTTCCATCAAGGGATCTACCATTTAAGTCCTAAAAGTCTTTTGATGATACAGAGACCAAAAGAACATATTGCCTGCAAATATCAAACCATTAAAGGCTAGCAGAGAAAATTGTAATATGGAAATTCAAGTCCACTCAAATCTGTTATATAGAAACCATAATACAAAAAAAATTCCTGTCAACAAATGACAGTTTTCAATTACACTATAATCAAACTGTGGAGTCAAAAAATAATTACAGGAATGAACTTCTTAAAGGTTTACTACAAACTAATACTAATTATTTAGTTGGAACATATGATTACAAACCACCCTGACCAAAATTCAAATATCGTATCAGACTTTCATATTTTAAGCTTTAACACATCAGAAAAAAATTAGTTGGATAACTTTTTTATAGAAATTTGTTTAGCGGCATATGCTAGACAACTTGTCATAATAAGCACTACGCATATTTTAACACATAACATAGTGAGATTCTTAATGAACAAAAAAGAAATCATTCAACAAAATAATAAACTATAAATAAAATTACTAAAAATGTATATATAAAATTAAATTAATTAATGAATGGGTGCTAGAGTATTATGATAAATGTATTATACAGCCAGTTTCGAATTAAAAATTCATCATTAGGTATGTCACAGTCAAAATGTAAAACGCACTGAATATAAAATTAAATAAAGGAATGCATAGAAGAAAAAAAATTGTACAAATTGGTCATTTTACACAAAAATAATTTATTTTAATAGGAGAGATTATTTAAAATGAATTATTATTAGACATAGATATAATAAGAAATATAAATCATTTGGTTATTATTTATTATCTAAAATTTATTGACATAAGATATTATTTTTAAAATCGGTTTATACATTTAGAATATTATTAAAATTATTTTTCTTTATTTCATTGTATTTCAAATATGAAATTGATGAAAGTTTATATATGGACTGTATATTTTGTTGTTAATAATATTATTGGTTTCATAATTTTGCATATACATTTCAGATAAAAGAGCATTTAATAACCTATAACTAATTTATCTTTTTGTGAATATAATTTATTATTATATTGGAAATAGTTTTAATTAATAATTACATTTATTGATTGTAATAATTTCTTGTACTCCGTTTGTATTAACTAACTTAATAACTTCAAATAAATTATTTCTATGTAAAAGGACCAATTTGTATAATTAATTTTTTATTTCTATGTAAGCCTTTATTTAATTTTTTATATTCAGTCCAGTTTACATTATAACTGTGATATATCTGATTTATTTCAAAACTGGTTGTATAATATACTTATACACCTACCACAATACTTCAGGGCACACTTATTTTTATACAGAACACTATTGTTATTGGATCATTACTAATTGGTAAGAATCATTGGACTATTGCTTTTAGACATTTGTATAGGAAAGAGTGTTCCATAATAAACCCATATGATTCATATGATAATGAAAGTGGTAAATCAAAACACACTTTTGAATTACCATAGAGACAAATTAAATTAAATTTTAATTTTTTAATTAGGAAAGCAGTTTTCCATTAATAAAATGTACTCAATGTCCCATTTGTTAATATTCCAAAACAAATAAATTCATATAACTGTGGTTTTCATAATACACTATGCTTACAATTATGAACAAATCAAATTTCAATGTACAATTCAACCCAAATGAAGACATTACAGAAGTATGTATCTATTATGATAGGTATTCTGATGAGCACCGGCTTGAGATAGATAATGATTGTGTTCTGTGGGTGGCATGTTCATTTTGTTGTCATTAGATGGCACTAAACTATATCCCTGGAGAACAGAGAATAGATTATTATAGCAACAATGAATATTTCTGGTTTTTGTATATTAAGTAAATGTGAGCTTAGATTGTGGCCTTTAGTTAAATGCAAATAACACAATTTTACGAGGATAATGTTTTCAAGGGCTTTATAAGTAACTTTTTTGTAAAGAACTATTAACTATTTAAAGAAGAAAAAATTTTATATGAATATAACTTTTTTATTTACATTTTTTTAAAAAGAATAGTAATGTAATGTCCTCAAATGTATTCTTCTAGTTAAATTGTGTTATTTATGTGTAAATTCCAATTTCTTAAACCTGAAGGACACAATTTATGTTCCTTGTTTGTTAAATTGAAACAAAATATGAAAACAAAAATATATACTATTTGTATCAAAGAGGGTATTCATCTGCTGCTTTTAATATAATATTCAAACTGATATTATTGTAATTTTCAGTTTGAGGATCTTCTTCTATCATAGAACCATCTGTTTGAGTACCACCTTGAATTTTAGGAAGATTCACACAATGCCAATTGCATTTTTGGTAACACAGCACCACTGATTAGTACTTCTAGATTATTTCTAAACATTTCACACCTTTAATAAAAATGTATTTTATGTAATATAAACATTTTAGGGCCACAACTAAATAATATTATAAAATACTAATACCTTCTGGAAATTTGTTCATACTAATAATTTACAATAGAATAATATGTAAAACATCCAACTTAATAAATTTATCAATGAAAATCCAATGACAGGTGTCTTCAATCTTCATGAATATGATTGTCTTGCACAGTAATTATTTTTTAAATAATTCATAAACTACTGAAAATATTTAAAAAAAAATATTAATATAATACAAATAATCAAATTTTTTTTTTATTAAAACAAAATATTTACATAATTATACTACCTATCTATGCATAAAACATAAATTATATTCTATTATATGACAATATTATATACCTGAGCAGAGTATGATCTTAATTTGGCGGAAGGTGGTTTAAAAAAAAAATACACAAAAAACTTCCCTTTTATAACTATATTTTTTTCGGTTAAAGTATGGCTTTTGGGTTTGGGAAAAAAATGTCAAGATATCGATAAATGTGTCAAAGATTTTTAGTTTATATACCATCCTAGAAAAACCTCCATAGATCAGATTTTCGATTTTCATGGACATTTTTTGTTATATTTTAATAAGAGCTGTTTTAATAGTGCTATTTCTGAAAAGAACAGTTTTCTATACGACATATTTAATTTATCAGTTAGTAATTAATATCAAATTTTTAATAGTAGATACATTCACATTTTATATAATTTTCACAATGCGATCATTAAATTAGTCTATCAAATAACAAAATAGTTGGAATTAGGTACCTACGTAATGTTTGTATACTTACGATAATTCACTTCTCACATTTGCACTCATACATGTAATTGATAAAAAACCAAAAATCGTGTTTTCACAAATAATAATAGATACCTACAAATATATAATTTCATAACGAATTATAAAAAATGTATGTACTGAAAATGGTCTGTAAATGGAAAAACCATACATCAGAAAAATGTTTTTTAGGCGGTACCTATAAAAAACAAAAAAATGTATGTATAATTTTTCGACATTTTAATATTTTTTGCTCAGACTAAAAACTCATACTTCAACTGTCTTACCTTCCACTGCCAAACATTTTATAACCACCATATAGGTATCATAAATACTCCATGATAAACACACAGTCGCATGGTGATTGGTGAACGTATTACTGTTGATAACGATAACAACCACGTTATTTTGTTGATATGTTTACTTCGTTCGAGTTATCAAGATGATTGTTTTCATTGACAACTTTATAATTTTATGACTTTAGTACAAATAACCAGTAAGTTTTTATTGTGTTTGTGGTTGCATTACATACCTACGTATCTGAGAAAAAGCACGAAAAACATGTTGAACAAAATGTCCATTCGACTTGACGTACATTCTCAGACCAAAAACACAATTTTTAATGTGTATAATTTTTTTAAAAAATTAGCAAATGACAAAAATAACCCTGTTGTAGCTACATTTTTTCGGAAAAGTCAGGAAATGACTGCAGAAGCATGTGGTGTTAGTGTCGGTACAGTGAAACGGATAACTTCTGAAGGGGCCAAATCGACTACTGCAGAACCTGGGGCTGGTCCGTCGTTTACATCTCCTCGAAAATCATACAAACGATTGAAATATGCATCTGATATTGATGATTTTAACGCAGATATAGTTCGAAGAACGGTGCACGAATTTTATGACAAAGGTCAGTTTCCTACATCACAAAAAGTTTTAACTGCGTATCAACAAAAAGTGAACAATTATAGGGGATCTAGGATTTCCATGTGGCGCATTCTTAAATCCTTACATTTTAAGTACAAAAAATGTAACGATGGCCGTCGTTTTCTTATGGAACGAAACGATATTGTTGTCATGCGCGTCAAGTTTTTAAGGAAAATGCACGACTTAAGGCAAAATAATGATACTCGTCCGGTCATATATCTAGACGAAACGTGGGTGAATACAGAAGGATTAAAAGTACCAACTGGAAAGGGCAGTAGAATTATAA